GCAATGTTCGCTCTCTTCTCCTCCTCTCCAGTGCTCCCCACTAACCGCAGGTAAGCCACCTTCTTCGCTTCCACTTTACCTTGTACAACTGCATTCCACCACCAGTCTCCTTTGTGACCACAAGTGCGGCCTGAAGATACCCCTAACACCTCTCTTGCCGCCTTCCTTATATAGTCCGCCGTCGTCGACCACATAGTGTTTGCGTCCCCCTAACACCACAGTATGTAAGCTATTAGAAAAACAATGATGACAGCAGTCTGTACCTTCTTGAGCAATTTCTTTTTCAAGAAAAAATGGAAAATGGTCAACTAAATGCCTTCATCCATTTCTTCTTCTATACTACTCGCCAGTTTTTCTACTTACTTCAATCATTTGTATAGGATGAATGAGTACTTAGAATGTATTCAGAGACCAGAAAATGCAGTCTCCTTTAAGAATATACCGTGGACCTAAATTTGCAGTTAGGATCCTTCAAGAATAGTCCTAAGATCTAAGTTTGCAGTTACTTAATGATTACAATTGTCAAGTTACAGGAATTATTTACTGAGAGATTCCAAAGTGCAAATAATCCTGAGTCAGTACTCAGCAAAGATTCATCAGAATCAGATCCTAACAGTTCTAAAGATACAGTGAGGGATGGTGCAACTCGGACGATATTAGATATTAAGAAAAAACTTGTTCACCTCAAGAAGCAACTAGGAGAAATATAGAAGAGCAGTAAAACATACTAGAATTCACCTTTCTTCACCGCTACCGAAGTTCCAGTGGCACAAGCCTACTGAAGATGCAGAAAGAACACTTCTGACGCCGGCACTAAGTGTAGGATCAGCTGAAAGAGAGCACACAGTATGAATAGGATTGCCTGTCAACCCAGTCATACATTCCACTGGCCTCGTAGTTTGACGTCCATCAAACTGCAAAACCATACCATTCTGCGCAAGACAAAACAAAAAATATGATGCATTATTCAAAGAAAAAGAAAAAGAAAGAATAGAGACACCAACTATTTTTTCTGATCGATAAATAACAATGGTGTTGCCTGTACTTGAAAGAGAGACTAACTAGTGAAAACAAATAAGTGCTCCCTCAATACCAACTTGCTTGTCACTTTGGATTCATTGTGGGTCAATTTGGCTTCTCAGCAAAATGAGGTATATATTTATTCTTGTTTTTTAATAAGTATATATTTATTCATTTTTTGAACATTAGATATTTAAAAACTACATCAAAAGTAATATAAGATGTAATTTTCCACCATATCAAAATAACGAGAGAATAGATTCAGAATTATTAGTCAAAGTTACTTTGTTTGACTCCCAACAAAAGAAAAGTGGGACCATTTTTTGAATAGACAATGGGTTAGGACCTGTAATCCGGCATACATGTAATGCGAATTGTTGGGATCCCACGAACATGACCAAGGAACAGTCTGCACATTCCAAATACACAAACAAAACTAATAAAATTAGCTTGGCCAAGAGTATCCATTAGCAACAAACCTATCCTATAGAGAAAGGACAATAACAGTAACAAATATTGGGAAAAAAACTAATAACAGTAACAAAAAGATTATTATCAGGAACGCATATTACTGAGAGCAGAAAAGTCGAAGATGCAGCAATTGAATCTAAGCAATCATAGCACCAGGACATTCGGGAGCATGCTATAAAGGCTGTACTATTTGTAGCTCAGGAGATGCATTTGTTACATTGTAAATCAGGTCACTATTTCCCTTTAAAGTTTCAAACATGGAATTGTCTTTGATGATTGCAAGAAATTCCCCACAGGCTCTAACAACTTCCTTCAATTACTTGACAACTTACCGAAATTTAAATCCAAGTTAAAGTAGCCTTGGACTTGACAAACTCATGACCCAGCAACGGGACTTGGGAAATTATGCAGAAAATTTTACTATTATACCAAGTAAGCTGTTGCACCCCCCACCAACAACTAGATGACAGGGTTATGCAACCCCACCATTCAGACAAACATTCTGAATCAGGTAGAAAGTATAGATTTGGAAAAATTCGACAGGCGTAAGTAGTATAGTAACCACAAAGAAGAAGAAATCAAGACAAAATAACAGAAAGTTCAAGAGAAACAAGGCAAGCAAAAATCAAACGTAGGACATGATCTTCTGCCGCAAAAAGACTGAGATTGAGGTCTATGAATTAGGAGGGTGGGGTAGAGCAAAAGCTAATTGATGTTTTACGAAAATTTGCATTTTGTCAACTCTCAAGTTGTCAATCAAAACTAAAAAGTAACAGCTTTCACAAGATGAATAGGTGGTGTTAAAGATCGTCTTCTGATGCTAATAGTGAAGGTCTAGTCAAATCAAATATGTCGGTCTGTACATTTAACTGTGAAAATGAGGGACCTTAGCAGGCCTTACCAGTTAGCGTAAAGTCTGTACACAGTAAGTACAGAAAAACGACTCCATAAGAACTCCAATCAACAATCATTCAAGCAGAGAGTTTCTCATCCAAAGAGCTTATCAACCAAATATAATAATACATTATCCAACAACTGCGAGCAATCTTTACTTTACACAAACTTAAGAATTGAAAGCAAAAACACAACTATAAAAGGCCTAGAGTTATTACCGGTAAGTCGTATGTCAGAACAGTATGGTTGTTTTCAGCACTGCAAGAAGAAAGAGATCAAATAAATAAGCTACCTACCAGGAGGGAAGCACAAATCGAAGCTGTTCTACAGCAATTCTTTTGATCAAGTACATTTAGCTCTTATGCAGCAATTATTTGGCAGAAAGTGGATGAGGGAGGTTATCGACCTAAGAACTGACAACTTCTTCCCTAAGGAAGCCAAGAGTATGACCCTTTCATGAGGAGAAACATGCAAGTCCTTGATAGTTTTCATGCTCGCAGGAAGCAGAATGTCTTCTCTTTCATGCGGAGGTAATAGGCTGATCTGCAAAATGTAAAAGTAGAAAAGTTGAAGCACATACGCAGAACAAAAACCATCAGAGAATTCCAATAAGGGCAGCCCGGTGCACTAAGCTCCCGCTATGCACGGGGTCCGGGAGAATTCCAATAAGGCAACCTAAGAAATTTACTTTCGTAAGCATATGCTGTCCTCCCATTCCAGCGAGCCTTCTAGCAATCATCAAATTCTCACCGTTGCTATCCACATCAAATAGGCGAGCACCATCAATCTGAAATTCTTTCTACAAATGTATAAAACATAAGGTTACTAACTCATTCAAACTTCAGTCAATGGCGCTAATTGGACAAACATATGCTGCGTTCATTCCCAATACAAAACCAGTAAGAAAAAAGAGGTAAGAGAAAAGAATAGAAATCATATTTTGGTACAATAAGAAGGAAGGGAACTAACCATCCATACTACTTTCTCAGTCACCAACAGACTATTGATGATGTGAGGTAAGTGTTAATCCAAAGGTGAGCATATTTCCAGTGCATCTTTGTACACAAGTTGCAATAAATGTGGAACAACAACGGATAAAGGACTAATGATTACTCTGTTGAAACTATCAGGTAAACAAGTTGCAATAAATGTGGAACAACAACGGATAAAGGACTAATGATTACTCTGTTGAAACTATCAGGTAAACAAGTTGCAATAAATGTGGAACAACAACGGATAAAGGACTAATGATTACTCTGTTGAAACTATCAGGTAAACAAGTTGCAATAAATGTGGAACAACAACGGATAAAGGACTAATGATTACTCTGTTGAAACTGTCAGGTAAACAAGTTGCAACAGATGTGGAGCAACAATGGATAAAGGAGTAACGATTTCTGAGTTGATACTATCGTATATCAGTAACCAAACATAAAAAATAAAAAAGTAAAAAAATAGTACCAAACAACAACAACAACAACAACAACTATAGCAACAACAACAATAATAATAATTCCTATAGCTCAATTTTCACATTTGACAAGAGTATAGGAGATGGCAAACCTGTAAAACAAAAGCATTCGCATATTCACGTCTTCCCAATTTGGAGTCAATATTGCTTCCTGCACGACATGGATAGGTACTGGAACTTCAGTGTGAAACGATGATAGAACATAGCCAATAGGATCAATATCCCTAAGTAAAGATTTCTCAAGGACTGCTTACCAAAAATGTGTCCAGATGACCTGCTCTGCATCTCACTTAGCGAGCCCTCTACACAAGTTATTCTCTATGAAGAGCAGATATGCAGCAAGTAATATGCCGCTTTAGTGAACAAAGGTTAACAGAGATACCTATACCACTACTAATTGCACCGAAACTTGTTATCCAAATTTTCTCAAGCCAAAGAAACGACAGAATAAATCAAAAACCCAAAGACGAAAGGGCTAAACTAAACTAAGAAAGGGGACATACACATTTAAGAATATTTCTTAAAAAGCCCAAACAAGTACCCGCCTTATAGCATTGAAAGATGTCATATTCTGAAGAATGTTAAAAGGGAATGCTGGCAGGAAAAAGAGGGCCACAATATGTACTAAAGAAAGTGCACCAAAGTCAATCTGGTATTCCAGGAAGAGAGTGGGCAAATAATTTAACAATGGGTAAAAACTAAATTAGAATATAATGTTGGAGTTTTCAAACATGGGAAAAGCAATAACGAGTAAACACGCATGAAGTAGAGTTGATCAGCTCGTTTTGCAAACCCTAGGAGAAAGTTTAAACAAAATTTACAATGGGTGTTTTGGTAGTAACAATATCACTTAAAAAAGACAACCAAGACAAAGGAAAATTGATTCTGGAAACAATCTAATCTGATCCTCCCCTCCCCCATCTCTCCACCACTAAAGAAAAGCCCCCTACACTTCCAACCAAACAAAAAAGATGCATTGAAGAAGGGAGGTGTGAAGAAGCAGCACATAACAGAAATAGCACACAAAGTGACACATACCTCTTTGAGGTGCTCCACTTGCTTATGCAACTCAGCTTCTCTCCTCCTCCACTCAACTTCTTTCTTACACCAATCACTGCACTGCGCTAATTGAATATCATCTTATAATCACCATGAGAACATGTGAAGAAAAATGTAATTTAGCACCTCTAGAGAGGGGACAAAATTGTTTTCAAAAGTCAGTTAAAGCAGAAGTATCATTGTTGTGGCTAACCCACGGTGATTCTGCTTCCTGACGAAGCATAAGCTGCCAGGTGACTTGAATGCCCTTACACAGAGCAATGAAGATAGCTGTTAAAAGCAAACAATTCTGGTTTACATAGTGAAGAAGGTACAAGGGAGAGGAAGAGAACAGAAGGGAAAAGGGAAACAAAGGTGTCTTCCCTTTAGGTAAAAGCTTCAACATTATGAGGGAAGAAATTGTGTTTATCTTACTCATTTCTGTCTAATTTTAGACGATTGACTCTTCACTGATACTCATCTTTCTCCTAGTGTTCCAACTCAAGAAATGAGAGAATCGTCCTTACCTATACCAATTCGTAAGAGGTTTCTATACAAAAACATACATTGAGTTTTTAAATCACGAGCAATTTGGTCCATTTGAAAACTAACAATCATCTTCAACTACACTGTTTCCTTCTAAATTGAGTAAAGGAAAAGACTAGCCTAAGACGTAAAAAGATAACCATCACCAAATCGTCATTTTGTTTCTTTTCTTTTTCTAACATAAGGTTTCATCAAGCTTTCACTTTTTCGATCGATTAGTTGGTCAGTCCTGTACTTCTGCCTTTAGTAGTTTGTGTTGGCTACATGGAAAAGCTTGAAAGTCTCTACTGTGAATCTTCATTAATAGGTTAGACCAGAGATGTATCAGGAGATAGCAGTTACAAAATCAAAAACCTTTCTTCTTCTTTTCTCTTACCTCTTTTTCAAGAGAAAAACGTTTAGATTCAAGGGACCGGATTTTCTGCAAAAGAGGAAGGGATTGGGTCACTATCTCATGGAGCAAGCTTCAAATTATAAGCATCAAATGAAGACCTTTTGAAGCTCTTCATCAACAGCATGAAGACGAGAAGCATAAAGCACTCGGACACCCTTCAATGTGCATTTCTTATTACATTGAGGGCACTACAAACAAAACAAAAGAAAGAATGTGAGGGGCCAACTGAAAAAAGGATGTCAAAATACTGCATAAAACAAGAACCAAATTATTATGAGAAATACCTTTCCTAAACTTCCTTTTTGTTGCAACCACTTCTTGATACATGACAAACCATATATATGCCCACAAGGAAGGCAGCTGCAAAAGAATAAAAGGTGGAAGATAATGGAAGTATTAACACTTGAAAACTGTATTTTCAGTTGTCAATTATATATCAAGCAATCAACTAAACCTCAACTCCAACTAGTTTGTCGACTATATGAATTATTCATATACGTTCCAATTTATTTGGGTCAATGTCATTCCATTACTAAAGAAGTTGTGTTTACGTCAAATCAGGGGTTCTCTAAAACTAGAGATTTCTAAATACCATTTGTATCCCTACAGTGACATGTAAGTCTATAATCATAACTCCAATTAGTCGATATTGCTGATACGAGTCTTTTACTTGCATTGTATTACGTTCTTAGTTAAGTCCGCATTGATTCAGTAGATTAAAGGACTTTAATGACAACTGTTTTCCATGTGATTTTAGTTCTTTATCTCCTTCTAACACATTAAATCATCATATCTGCGCACCAACTGATGCATTTGGATGGCTAAATAGAACATCCACAAACAATATTTTTTGAGTATTTTCGATTGGGTTATATTCCCTTAGCCTATTGTGATGTATTCGTTGTAGTTTTGGCCAGATTCGACGCGCGAGGAGGTCGATACGAAAGGAAAGGGCATCGCGGAGTAGTATTTGGCCGGCTAGAGGTGAGTAATAGATGTAAATGATGTCCTGAGGGTTTGAAACCCCGGAATTTCACATCGTAACGCTATATTGAGGTGACTTGCACGCCGGATAACGGGCGTGGGGTAGAGCACCGTTGGGGATTGTGACTTGGTCCGTCCCGAGAGATATTTTACTACATTTTTGGTTGAGACGTATACTTTATTATTGTGAATTGGGCTTGTTGCCATGCTTGGGGCCTTGTGCCGACCTGTAGAACCCTTAGGGGATTTTTGACTGGTTTTCCTCACTTATTTTGTTAAAGAATTTATATCCTCAGTCATGTTTCCAATTGTAGGCTTCTTGCCAATTATTTGAATCCTTCAGGGATTGATATCACTGCTTTCGCATATTTTGCATATCATTTGACCTCAGTCCAAGGTTTTAAATACTGTTTTGCAAACTCAGCCATCTTTCTAAGATTTGAAAACTTAAATGATATTTCTAAATGATATTTCGGGCTGAGAACTACTGTTTTACGAATGCCCAAGGGGCTTATGATGATTTCTGGACTGAGCATGGATCGGGCTGCGCGCCGCAGCAGTGTTATATTGATATTGAGGCCGAGAGCCTAGTTGATTACATTGATATTGAGGCCGAGAGCCTGGTTGATTACATTGATATTGAGGCCGAGAGCCTGGTTGATTACATTGATATTGAGGCTGAGAGCCTGGGTGATTATACTGAGATTGATATGAGGCCGAGGGCCTAGATTTGATGCCACGAGATGGCTTGATATTGCGCTTGGGCTGTAGGAGCCCCTCCGGAGTCTGTACACACCCCCAGTGAGCGTCGTCGACGATAAATAAATATGGATGGCTCGGGCTGCACGCCGCAGTGGGTACCAGAGGGTACCGTCATATGCATTGCATTGCACTCATGCATTTATTCTTTATCTGCATTATCTGCCATAATAATTATGTGCTCTTATTTCATTGACTGGTTGCTTCATACTGTTCTGAGCCTGAGGGGCTGATACTGTTCTGAGATACTGAGCCCGAGGGGCAGATTTCTACTTATTATTTTGATACTGAGCTCGAGGGGCAGATTTCTAGTTATTATTTTGATACTGAGCCCGAGGGGCAGATTTCTACTTGTTGTTTTGATATTGAGCCCGAGGGGCAGATTTCTACTCGTCATTTTACTGCCAAATTACCTGTTTTACTGGTTTAAAAGAAATTTCACATGATGTTTCACTGAATTGTTATTTTAAATGATTTCACTGCTTCTGTATAGAATGTTGTGTGCCTTAACGTGTTTTCTTACCTTCAGTCATTATTTATATTTATTACTCACTGGGTCGGAGTACTCACATTACTCCCTGCACCATGTGTGCAGGTACAGGTATTCTTGAGGCATAGAGCGAGTTTTCTGCTGTTCAGTTTTCATCGGAGTTATCGAGGTAGCTGCATGGCGTTCGCAGACCCGTTTTCTCCCTTATCTTCTGTTATTTATGATATCTTCAGACTTTGTTCCTAATTCCATACTTTGTAGAATTTTAGTAAACTCTGTAGTAGCTCATGACTTGTGACACCCCGGTTAGGGCTGAGTTGGGTTAGATTTCCGTATTTTATCTATACTTTCCGCTATTGGATATTATTAAACCATGTTTATACTATAATTGTGTTAATTAATTGTCTTAAAAGGATGAATTGGGTTGAATGGCTGGCCTTGTCTTCATGAGAGGCGCCATCACAACCAGGTTCGGGAATTGGGTCGTGACAGGTAGTGTGTATACAGGCCTTACCCCTACTTTGTGCAAGTAGAGAGGTTGTTTCTGATAGACCCTCAGCTCAAGAAAAGCAAATTCACAACAATTTTGAAAAAGAAAAATGGTAGTTTAAAAAGGAACCAGTAACAACAGCAAGATAATAAGATAATTGAAGCAAAAGCAACAACAAGTAATAGTAGAAATCAAAGAATAAGGAAGTTCTAGCAACAACAACAATAACAAAAAATCCAGTGTAACCCCACAAGTGGGGTCTGGGGAGGGTAGTGTGTACACAGAACTTAAACCTACCTAGTGAAGGTGGAAAAAAGAATAAGCAAGTACTAGAATGATACTAATACTATTGGTACGGAAAGGAAATACAGTCAACTACCTACTAACTTTCTACCTTAATATTCGACTTCCACACCCTTCTATCAAGGGTCATGTATTTAGTAAGCAGAAGATGAGTCATGTATTGTCTAATCACCTCTCCCGAATACTTCTCCAACCTACCTTTACCTCTCCTTAACCCACCATTGTCAATCCCTCACACCTCCTACCTGAGACATTTGTCTTCTTCACATGCCCGAATCATTATTACCATTTATTTTAGGTTAATAATCAAGGCTATTAAATAGATTACTTACCTAATTGAGTAAATACATCACCACAATCAAAAAGGACTTAAGAGCCTATTTCGCTTAGCTGATTTAGAGTAGTTGATAAACATTAGGTGCTGAAAACACTTTTAAGTGCTGAAGCTGATTTAAAAAATAAGCAGTTACGTGTTTGGATAAAAGTGTTGAAATAAATAATAAGCAACTGAAGAACTGGATATACGAAGAGTTTTGTTTTAAAAAAAAAATATTTTAGGGATAGAATAGTAAATATTTTGGTCAAACCTAAAGTGCTTATAAGCTGAAATTTGATAAGTTGGGGGAGACCAACTTATGGCTTTTGACTTATTTTTGGCTTATAAGCACTTTCAATTTTACCAAACTCGTATATAAGCCAAAAAGTGCTTATGAGCCAATTTGACCAGCTTATAAGCTTAGCCAAACACCCTCTAAGTTATATGCGAGTATAGTGTAATGTGTGTAGATTAACATGAGGTTAATTACCATTTATTCAAGATTACTAATCAATGTTATCAAATAGGTTACTTTGAAAAATATATCCCATTCTAAGTGGGATGATTATGACAAACTTCCTTTATTAACTTTATAAAAGTTTTCCATTGAAAAATATATCTCATTCTAAGTGGGATGATTATGACAAACTTCCTTTATTAACTTTATAAAAGTTTTCCATTGAAAAATATATCTCATTCTAAGTGGGATGATTATGACAAACTTCCTTTATTAACTTTATAAAAGTTTTCCATTGAAAAATATATCTCATTCTAAGTGGGATGATTATGACAAACTTCCTTTATTAACTTTATAAAAGTTTTCCATTGAAAAATATATCTCATTCTAATGGGATGAATCTTCCAAGATCTTGAGGAGTTTGAATTGAAATTCTGTCGTAGGAATTCCTTCATGGAATTCCATGTCCAATCAAAATTGGATCAAGTGTTCTTCATTAATGTTATATATATACACCTTATATAAGCAAATATTAATTATATATATCATATATATATATATATATATTTCAACCGAGAGATACAATTTAATTTTCCTTCCAAATAGAAACTTCAATTTATTCACAATATTAATTATATCCTCTATGCTAGCAAAGAATATAATAATATTTCATTTGGACTAATAACTAAATTTATCTCTTGGTTGAAATATATATATGTGATATATATAATTAATATTTGTTTATATAAGGTGTATATATATAATATTAATGAAGAACACCTGATCCAATTTTGATTGGACATGGAATTCCTACGGCAGAATTTCAATTCAAACTCCTCAAGATCTTGGAAGATTCATCCCATTAGAATGGGATATATTTTTCAATGGAACACTTTTATAAAGTTAATAACGGAAGTTTGTCATCATCATCCCACTTAGAATGGGATATATTTTTCAATGACATTCTTTTGCTTGAGCAATGGCTCCAATATTGTCACACAACAATGGAACTGCACCCTCTATTGAAGGAACCACACCAAGTTCAGTTAAGAACTTTTTCATCGATACAGCTTCCTTAGCTGCTATATATTCTGCTTCAGTCAATGAATAAGCTACTGTAGCTTGTTTGGAACTTTTCCAACTGACTGCACCATCATTTAAGGTGAATACATAACCAGAAATAGACTTGCTATCATCTTTATCTGAAGAGAAACTTGCATCAGTATAACCTTCAAGTTTCAACTCAGAATATCCATAGATGAGGAATTGGTCTTTAGTCCTTCTTAAGTACTTAGAATGGTCTTCACCACCTTCCAATGTTCCTCACCAGGATTTGCCTGATAGCGGCTAGTCACTCCAAGTGCATAAGCCACATCAGGACGTGTACATGTCATGGTATACATGATAGCTCCCACTGCACTAGCGTATGGGATCCTACTCATGTGTTCTCTCTCTTCAGGTGTTTTAGGACAATCCTCCCTACTGAGAGAAATTCCAGTGTCAATTGGTAAATAGCCTCTTTTGGAATTATCCATGTTATACCTCTTCAAGATGGTATCAATGTACAAAGACTGGGAAAGTCCAAGCAGCTTCCTAGATCTATCTCTATAGATCTTTATTCCTCATATATAAGCTGCTTCTCCCAATTCTTTCATGGAGAAATGTTCAGATAGCCAAATCTTGGTACTTTGCAATGCTGGTATGTCATTCCTATGAGCAATATATCAACATACAACACTAAGAATATAATTGTGCTCCCATTAACCTTTTTGTACACACAAGGTTCTTCTTCGCATCTAACAAAATTGAACTTTTCAATTGTCTTGTTAAAGCGAATATTCCAACTTCGAGAAGCTTGCTTTAGTCCATAAATAGATCTTTGTAGTTTGTAAATTTTATTATGATCAGATGAAGATGTGAAACCTTCAGGTTGTGTCATGTACACATCCTCTTCTAGCTCACCATTAAGGAAAGTTGTTTTCACATCCATTTGCCATATTTCATAATCATAGTATGCTGCTATAGCAAGCAAAATCCGAATTGATTTGAGCATTGCCACGGGAGAGAAAGTTTCGTCATAGTCGACTCCTTCTTTCTGACGATATCCCTTGGCAACAAGACGGGCTTTGTAGGTCTCCACCTTTCCATCTGCTCCAATCTTTTTCTTAAAAATCAATTTCTTTATGATATGTTTAAATATGTTCTTATAATAATGTCTTTTCTTTTCTAATTTTAGATTTCTCAATATGTCTGTTATATCACTGCGTGGAATACTTGAGACCAACAAGTTGGTAGGACCAAACTTCGATGATTGGTACATAAATTTGAGAATTGTTCTCATGCATGAAAAACTTATTGATGTGATCGATAAGCCTGCCAAGAAAGTCCCAGATGAGAATGATGATGATTCCACCAAGATTTATCAGAAATACTTGGAAGAATGTCTTACTACCAAATGCATTCTCGCTTCTATGAGTTCTGAGCTCCAGATGAAATATCAGGATATGGATCCAACTGCAATCATTGAACATCTTAAAAAGATGTTTGGTACCCAAAGCAGGACAGCAAGATATCAGCTATCTAAGGCTTTATTTGGATCCAAATTAACTGGAAACTCTCCAGTTGGACCCTATGTCAATCGTATGATTGATCTTATTGAAGAACTTGAAAAGTTGGGATGCAAATTAGATAAAGAGCTTTCTCAAGATTTGATCTTGCAGTCACTCTCTGAATTTTAATATGCATAAAATGGATTGTGATCTTCATGAGATGCTTAACATGTTGATTGATTATGAGAATCAACTTGCATCTGAGAAGAAGAGAGGAATTGTCATGTTGGTTGGAAATTCTTCTAAGAAGAAGGGTAAGGGTAAAAATAAACCCAAGAAGAAACCTGCTGCGCCTAAGGGTGGTGTGACCAAACCCAAAGGCAAAAGAGGCAAAACTGACCAATCTGATGCTGAATGTTTCCACTGTAAGAAGATAGGACATTGGTAGAGAAACTGCCCGGAGTATCTTGCAACTCTAAATGATAAGAAACAAGGTAAGACTCAATTGA